GAAGGGGAGGTTGTCCTGTTTTCTGTTGGTACCGGACTATATTGTTGCTAGCACTGGCTCTGGCTTTGCAATTGATTGTGACTTTTTCTTCTGGAGTCTTGGTCATTACAATGTCCTAACTGGAGTCTCAATGAAAAATAAAATAAGGAACTAGATCTACACGAAAATAAAAAATAAGCTGTATTGTTTTTATCATCTGTCTCCTTACATTCATCACTATGCTTTTACATTGTATTTACATAGTTTTATTAATTTAACATAAAATGAAAGTAATTTCTAAGCTAGGTGTGTATATATAATACCAAAGTGATGACACTGGATGGAGATGAAGCATAAAAAAATATACTGCAGCATTTCTAGATCTGCTTTTTTCAAGCCAATATCCTCTTGTTCTGCCCCTTTACCTTGGATCCTGAGCACTAACAACCAGAGATGCTGAGGCTGTGAGATCGTTTTGCTATGTTGGTGCTGTCCGGTGCTGATCAATTAACCGGTAAATGTAAAATGTATGTAGCATTGTTGTAGCTGTGTGGGTCCCAGGATATTAGAGCGACAAGATGGGCGAGGTAATATCGCTTATTGGACCCACTACTGTTGGTGAGAGAGACAAGGTTTCAAGCTACACGGAGCTCTTCCTTAGGTCTGAGAGAAGTATCTGTGGTGGGGCAGATGTTTAGTCTCTTAGAGAGTATGGATGATTCAGCTCCAGTGAAGGGTAGTCTTGATAAATTGATGATGATTGGGTGCCATGCAGTGTCCATTTGGTGGGTACTGGTGCCATGGTTTCTCCCAGATGTGGTGTTCTGTGGGTTGTGGAGTAGTTGTAGTTAGTTCCACTTCTTGCTTTTGTGTTGGATGGCTGTCATCAGGTTTTTTTGTTTTTGTTTTTATAGTTACCTTTCCCAGAGCTGAGGAAGAACTCTCTGTAACCCAACAGAAATTGGTCCAATCACAGGTGTTATCTCACCAACCTTGTCTCTCTAAGTGTAAAATGTAATATTTATAACTGCCAAGAGCACGAGGGGAATTGGAATTAGAAGGAGAGATAGAAAGCATCTTGCCTCAGCCCCTGGGTCACAGACTCAGACCTAGGGATTTGAGAACTAATTTCTTAGCAGCATTTCAGAAATGTTTTCCTCCAGCATGTTTATTCGTTTAGCAAGTGTCATCTACCTCAGGTCATTCATGCCGCGATGGTTGTGACCAGGTGCAGCCTTAGGTAGATAACACTTGGAAATGACATCAGCATGTTGGAGGAAAGCATTTTGTGTGTCCTGTCTGTGTAAAGTACTGCACTACTGATTAGGGGGCTGGAGCACATGACTTATGAGGAGAGGCTGAGGGAACTGGCATTGTTTAGTCTGCAGAAGAGAAGAATGAGGGGGGATTTGATAGCTGCTTTCATCCAAAGAGGATGGATCTAGACTGATCTCAGTGGTAGTAATGGTCTCAAGTTGCAGTGGGGGAGGTTTAGGTTGGATATTAGGAAACACTTTTTCACTAGGAGGGTGGTGAAGCACTGGAATGGGTTACCTAGGGAGGTGGTGGAATCTCCGTCCTTAGAGGTTTTTAAGGCCTGGCTTGACAAATCCCTGGCTAGGATGATTTAGTTGGGGATTGGTCCTGCTTTGAGCAGGGGGTTGGACTAGATGACCTCCTGAGGTCCCTTCCAACCCAGATATTCTGTGATTCTATGACTAGGGTCAGTTTGGTTTTCTTTCCTGTTCAGAGAAGCCTTGAGCAGATTCCTTTTCGGGATAATTGGAAACAACACTGTGGGAAGGGAGAGAACTGGGTTTGTCACGTCTGAAGAACTGAAGTATCCAGGAGCTTGGAGACTTGACACCCCACTAGCTGCTGGGACTGCGCTGGTGAGCAGAGGGAGACTAAAGTCCCTGGAGTGCAGTATGAGCAACCTTGCCTGCTGTCGTGCCACTCTGGGTGTGAATCTCCCACAGCCCAGCCGGTGGTGATTTCCACTCTCTCTATGCAAGGCCCATGGGGGACAGGATTTCTAGCTAGCTCTTCATCATGGAGAGCCTGGCCTGATAACCACAGCACAGTGATCTGAAACCCTGGCACAGACAGTTAGGGGATGGGTAAGAGGGTGCATAGCTCAGTCCAGAGCCGGAGAGAGGGACAGGTGTATTTGCTGCCCTCAGCCAATTAATTAAATGAAAAAACACTGAGTGGATTCCAACGTGAACCTAAATAAGAGCAAAGGACTGTCCTGTTGTGATTCAGAAAACCCAGTCTGTGCATCTTCTCGATTTTGGGCTGATTCTTACCCTGGATCCAGAGCACTAAGAAGCAGATGAGCAGAGCCTGTGAGATCATCTTCATGGGTCTGTCCTGACCAGCAGTTGTCAATAAACCTCAAAGAGTGAAGTGAAACCTTTATAACTGCTCCAAGCAGCAGGGAAGGGTCAGTGGGTTGCATATAAGCAAAGCATCTCCTCTCAGCCCCTGATATGGAGTCAGAGCTCCATCTACTGTAAATCAGTGTAGCTGCCCTGATGTCAGTGGAGTTATGGTGATTTACACCTGCTGAGGAGCTGGGTCACGGGCGATGGATTGGTTTGTGCTATTCCAGAGAGCGTATTTCTGTATTAATGTGTTACAAACTCTGTTGTTTATTCCCCCCCGCCCACCTATCTACTGTTGGCTTCTTGCTCCTGATTTTGGTGTCTTTGTTCTGCCCAAGCTAATAGCATGGAGAGGGCATTTAGACCAACTCCTCAGCCACTTTTACCCTGTATTCAGGCTCTCCCATCAGCCTGAAACTCTCCCTGCCAACTCAACAACAAACACCACGTCTCCTCCTGTGTGGCCCTTGTCCAAACCCTCTTCTTCAAGCCCCCATACACTAGCACTCTAATTCCATTGAAAGAATTGGTGTTAACCAAGAAAGAAACAAGCAACCTACAGGATGCGTACACAAGCCTCATAAGTAACCATATTATCCTCCCCATCACCCTGCCCCTTCTCCATCCCTTTCCTGTGTTGTCTCCTCTTTGTTGCTCAAATAGTTTAGACCGCTACCCTGTAAGCACGTGTGCGCATGTGTACCGTTGTGTACAAGGGGAGAGGCATTGGATTCCAGGCATAGGATACTAATGGACTCAATGGTACCTCATACATAAAGTGGCATCGCCAATGCTAACAATGTAATTATGAGTCCCATGGCATGTGATGGTTTATTTAAAGCCTCCCCAGCTTCTGGAGCCGTACTGATTTCAGTGAAAAGCTTGACCCAAGTGTGCCCAGAATGCTCCAAACCAGAAGACAAATGAAATCACTGAAATTATATATTTTTAATCTCATGATTTCTGAATGTTTGTGGTTGGCAATACTCATACATTAGCAACATATAAAAGTGTTAGCAGGATCAGGGACTGTCAGCTCTTCAGAGCAGGGTTCCTGTCTGTGTTTGTTCAGTGAAGCACATCCAACAGTAACGCTACATGGCTTTCTGTGTTGGGCATTTCAGATGGTCCAGTCTCTGCTGGAGGAGTGACACGTTTGTGTGATGCCATCTGCTGGCAAAAGGGGGGATTTTCAGGACTATGATTTCTTTAACTTCTATCCCTGTTGCCAAGTGAGGCTATAAGGGTATGTCTACACTACGGGATTAATCCGAATTTAGATAATTCGAATTTGGGAAACAGGTTGTATAAATTCGATTGTGCGCGGCCACACTAAGCACATTAATTCGGTTTTTAACCACATTAATTCGGTGGTGTGCGGCCACACTACCCCATTAATTTAACCACAGTAATTCGGTGGTGTGCGGCCACACTAACCCTACTTCGAATTAACAAAATCGATTTAGGCGCTACTCCGCTCGTCGAGGTGGAGTACAGAAATCGATTTTAAGTGCCCTTTAATTCGAATTAACTGGCTCTGTAGTGTGGACGGGTGAAGGGTTAATTCGGATTAACGCAGCTAAATCCGAATTAAAGTCGTAGTGTAGACCAGGCCTTAGTGTGTGTGAAGAGGTGGAAATGGGGATACACCAGTCGCCAGTGAAACTAAAATAGAAGTAAACCCTGTTGATCCTGTCACTTTTCATAATGCAACATTTGTTTCTTTTTTCTACTCAGAAATCTCCTTCTTCCCCTAGTTTCTCTTGTCCTTCCCTTTTCCTTCTCTCTTCTCCTTGTGTCCTCTCTGTTCCACTGTCACACAGCCCTATGCCAAGCCCAAGCACCCTATTATCCATCCCATGCACACTGCTCACGTTCCAGTCCCCTTTCTACCCAAACAGCCTTCCATACAGACCCACCTCTCTCTCTCTCAGACACGCAGAGCAGGGAGGTTTTTGTGTTGGTCTGTATCACTGTGAGAGGTGAGCTATCAGTCTGCAGACAATAGTAATCAGCTGCATCATCGGTTTCAACGCTACTGATTGTGAGAGTGTAAACGGTGCCAGACCCACTGCCACTGAACCGGGCTGGGACCCCGGAGGCACGGTAAGTGTCACCATAGATAAGAAGTTTAGGAGCTTGTTTGGGTTTCTGTTGGTACCAGGATACATAGTAGCTGCTAAGGCTCGAACTGGCTGTACATCTGATTGTGACTTTTTCTCCTGGAGACACTGAGAGGGATTCTGGAGACTGAGTCATAGTGACCTGCCCATAGGAGTCTGGATTAAATATGAAATATAAATAAATACAGAGAAAAGATCATTGATAGCGAGCAACAATAAATAAGAACATCACAGAGTACAAGATGTTCTCAATCATATTCAAGCCACATTTGTAACAAATTACAAATTTAATAGGCAATCTAGGTACAATGTTTTGGATTTTTAAAAATTAAATGGATCATTGTTAGAGTGACCAGATAGCAAGTGAGAAAAATCGGGACGGGGGTGGGGGGTAAGAAGTGCCTATATAAGAAAAAGCCCCAAATATTGGGACTGTCCCTATAAAATCAGGACATCTGGTCACCCTAATCATTGTACTTTTAAGCCAGTGTCGTCTGGTTCTGATTCTTACCTGGAATCCACAGCGCCAGTAGCCAGAGCAGCTGAGCCTGGGAGAACATCTTGATACGTCTGAGCTGGCAGATGCTGCTCAATAAACCGCGGAGAGTGGAACAAAATCTTTTATAGCCCTTCAGAGCAACAGGGCAGCGTCACTGGGGAGTTCACATGCAAAGCAGCCCCTGTGTGCGGTGTCCCGGCCTCTCTGCTCTGACTAGACATAGAGCTGGTTTCTGTGCATCATCGCAGTGTGTGGGGTCACTCGCCCTCCAGGAGGGAAGGATACTCTTGTGGATTAGGCTCAGGGGGTATGGGTCTGCCTCTGCCAATGCCAATGTGTGACCTTTGACTTATCATTGTGGGCAGGATCTTGCGAAGTACTGGGCGCTCTCAACTCCCATTGAAATCCATGGGATGACCTAAACAAACAAGGACAGCAGGATCTGACTCTATACACCCAGTTCTGCCCCCACTGATGTCAAAGGCAAAACTCCCATTAATTTCAGTGGCAGTGGAATTGTTCCTTACATCTCTCTGCGTCTCATCTTCCCTCTCGGCAATATGAGGAAGGTGATGCCCACAGGACATGCTGCTGAGGGCTGCTGGGATATCACTGATCAGTGTTTGTAAAGTGCTTGGAGATCCTCAGGTAAATGATGCTGGATTAGTAAATGGATTAGTGCAGAGGGTGTTCATGGGCCTAACCCCTCCCCATCCACCATAGGGCGGTTAATGGTGATATCGGCCTTTTATACAAGACAGTAGGGTGGGCAAGTCTTGTGATACTTAGGTTTGGGGTTTGTTTTTTTTAAGTCCTAACTCCTGGGGTCAAGTGACGACGTGAGAAACAGCTCCACAATCAAGTGGGCTGGAAAACTTTAAAAAAAAAAAAAAAAAGGGCAAAAAAAAAGAGCTAAGTCTGAAAAAGGGAAATCCCTGAAGACAAGTAAAAAGAAACCAGAATTTAGTATTTATAACAATCGTGTAATGTGTTGGGTCCTGACTTGTGATTTGTGAGTGGCTGGGCCGGCAATGCAGCATTCAGGGATGTTTCCTGTTATCCCACCACTCCACTTACTAGGCCTGAGTCATGGCAGACATTGAATTTAGACAGTCGGGGGCAGTAACTCAAGCTCACTTCTCTAGTTCGGAGTTATTCATTATATTCTACTTATTTATTTGTATTACCGTCAGGAGTGGCGCCAGGGTTTTTGGCGCTCTCGGCAGGGGTCCTTCCACGCTCCCAGTCGGCAGCGGCAATTCTGCGGCGGGGGGGTCCTTCCGCGCTCCCGATCTTCGAGGCACTTCGGCGGCGGGTCCCGGAGCGAGTGAAGGACCTGCCGCAGAATTGCCGGCAAAGACCTGGAGCGCGGAAGGACCCCCCGCCGCCGAATTGCTGCCCCCCCAAATCCTGGTGCCCTAGGCTACCGCCGGCCCTGATTACCGTCCCATCTGGGAAACCTTGTCGTGCCCTGGGACCCCATTGTGCTAGGTGCTGTACAAACACAGTATAAAAAAGATGGCCCCTGCCCCGAGGAGTTGACAATCTAAGAATAAGACAAAAGACAAGAGATGGCTCCAGGCAGACGTCGGACTAAAAGGAAATTATGAGACAATACTGGTCAGCATGACAGGCAGTGGTCTCAGCACAACAGCAGCCTGACTGTTGTCTGTAGGTCTCATGACAAAGGAGACATTTCAGGAGGGATTTGAAGGAGAACAATGCAATAGTTTTGCAGATGTTTACAGGAAGCTCCTCCCAAGTGTGAGGGGCAGCATGGGAGAAAACATGAAGATCCTTATTTTCAAATTAAACAAGTGGGTGATGGAGGGTGGCATCATGGGCTGATGGGAGATGGGAACTGACATCCCAATTAGGGAGACCAGATGTCCCAACTTTATAGGGACAGTCCCAATATTTGGGGCTTTGTCTTATATAGGCGTCTATTACCCCCCACCCTCTGTCCCGATTTTTCATACTTGCTGTCTGGTCAGCCTAGTCCCAATAGGAGTGAGAGATGATAGGTAGTCTGGAGACTAGCAAAGAAGGGCCTTGAAAGTAAAGACAAGTAGCTTAAGTTTGATTAGATAGAGAATGGGGAGTTAGTGGATGGACGCAAAGAGAGGGTGACATGGGCTAGGAAAGTGATCTTTGCAGCAGCATTCTGAATGGATATGAGCAGGAAAGATAGCATTTATCAAGGCCAATGAAAAGGATGTTACTATAATCGAGACATGAGATAAAATCATAGAAATTTAGGGCTGGAAGGGACGTTGATAGGTTATCTAGGCCGGCCCGCCTCCCACCCCAGTGCTGAAGAAGAACCAAGCATACCTAGACCATCCTGACAGATGTTTGTCTAACCTGTTTTTGCAAATCTCCAATGATGTGAATTCCACAGCCTTCCTTGTGAACGTATTCCAGTTTTTAACTATCCTTATAGTTAGAGAGTTTTTTCCTAACATCTAACCTTAAATCTCCCTTAAATCTAGTTACTCCTTGTCCTACCTTCAGAGGACATGGAGATCACTTGATCACTGTTCTCTTAATGACAATCCATAACATATCTGAAGACTGTTGTCAGGTCCCACCTCAGTCTTCTTATCTCAAGACTACACATGCCCAGTTTTTTTAATCTATTCTCATAGATCAGGTATGAACCGAGAAAGAAACCATTAGTCACTTGCATTAGCCTCCTAAATAACCATTTTATCCTTCCCATCATCCTGTCCCTTTCATCTCCTCTTGTTTTTCTTTGGTTTCAACCCCTGATCATGTAAGCATGTGTGCACATGTGTACATGGATAGATCCATTGAATTCCAGGCATAGGGTGCATGACAGACTCAGTGGGATGTCCCATATGTATAACACAGCATTGCCAACTCTAGCAATTTAATCCTGAGGCTCATGATATGTCATGGTTTACTTACAGCCTCCCCAAGTCCTGGAGGCAACTGATTGTGTGAGAGGCTCAGCTTAAAAAACGAAACAAAACAAAAATAAGAGTTCAATTTATAGCTTTACTGGATGCAGAGCAAAGCTTGACTCGAGCACCCGCAGAATGCCCCGTATCAGAAGACACCTTTTGATTTCTCTCATTTATTTTATTAATCTTGTGATTTTTAAGCTCACTTCATGATTTCTGAATGTTTGTGGTGGGCACTACTGATAAATTAGTGTTAAGTGTTAACAGGATCAGGGACAGGGAGTGTCAGCTCTTCAGAGCAGGGCTCCTGTCTGCATTTGTTCAGTGAAGTGCCAAGCACATCCAATAGTAACGCTACACGGCTCTCTGTGTTTGGAATTTCACATGTTCCAGTCTTGGCTGGAGGTGTGACACATTTGTGTGATGCCACCTGGTGGCCGTACAGGGTAATCAGTTCAGTGAATTATTTTCCTTATATTCCTCTTTTGATGTGAGGATACGCACCTCTAACAACATGTAAGAACATTTTATTGTCACAAACAGAAAAGACTAAGCACAGATTGTTAGCAGAACAAACAGATCCCCCTCATAGTTTCTTCTGTGAAGATTCATTGAGTTAATGGTTACTGAGAGAGATTTTATTTAGTAAACAGAAAATATGCTGATTGAAAGATTTTTGTGAGTGGCATTTCCCCCTTTTGTGGCACTGGAGTTTTATACTTTCATTTGTTTGATCACTTGAAAAATGTTCAATATATTTAAATGCTTCATTTTGTTTCTGTACATAAAATAATAATGAGTGATTATTTTTACAACCTTTTCATCCATGTTCTTCATTAGATGCAGCAAAAATGAATCTGACATTGATTTCTTGTACAGCTGTTCTATTCAGAATGCTCCTTAGTGTTAAATGCATTGGGGAACACTCATTACAATCAAATGCCAAAATAACAGGAGGAAGAATGTGTCCAGTGACTTCTCATGTCAGGTGTTTTGCTATTTTCTTTTCTTTTACTTCCAGAAGCTTCCTCCAGCTCTGACTTCCAATCTGCCACCCAGCCTTTCCCTACACGCTCACTGCTGCAAAACCTACATGCACACAAAATACAGGCTGACTACAGAAGAGAGCAGAGGTTGGGTCCTGGCCCCCTTGAAGCCAATTAGGTTTTGACTCTGACTTCAGCGGGGCCAGGATTTCCCTCACAGTGAGTGCGTGTGAGGAGATGGAAACGGGGATACAAGAATCAGTAGAGAAACTAAAGTGGAACCCTTGTGGACCCTGTCATTTAGATAATGCTGTATTTATTCATTCCCATTTTTCTATAGTCAGAATTCTAGTTCTTACCTATTTTCTCTCATGCATCCCCTTCCATCACTCTCCTTCTGCTTATCTCTCATGTCTTCCACTTCCCCCACATATCACACAACCCTGTACCTAGCCCATTCACCCTATTGTACATTCCATACACTGTTCACTTTCCAGTTCCCCTTCCCCCACACACGGCCTTCCCTTTCTCTCTTAGGTCCTCTTCCCACAAGGTGCTGGGCAGTTCTTGAGAGGTGCTGAGAGCTCTCAACTCTCTTTGTCTCCAAAGGGGGCTGCAGTAACTCCCTGCCTCACAGCACCTGGCAGGATTGGCCCTGCTTGGCCACTGATCTCTGATGTCCTGTGTTATGGTGGGAACCTCATGGCCATAAATCAATGGGACCCAAGTGGCTGAGGTTTTGCATCTGTCACTATTTCTGAGTTGATAACGCCCACCCAAACAGAACCCTGATCCCGTTGGCACTGTCTGAACTGGAGGTGGGGAGGGGGTTTTGTTCCAGGCCATTGGGTGCTTTCTGTGTCCCCATTAGAATGGAGGGACCTGGGTTTCCCAAGGAAAATGTCTGGTTAATTGTGGTGTTGGTGGTGGGGAGCAAAGGGGAGGCAAGGAGAAGGCCACTGCAGTGAGGGCCCTGGACACTAACATATAACACTGCACCCTAATTCAGGGTGTAGCAGCTGCACTAACACTGTGATGATCTGCACAGGAAGCAGCACTCACACTGCCCTAGAGCAGGGAGGTTTTTGTATTGGTCTGTATCACTGTGAGAGGTGAGCTATCAGTCTGCAGACAATAGTAATCCGCTG